TTTTTTTTCATTTAGCCTTTATTTATCCAGGTAGTCTCATTGAGCTACGAGAACTCATTTTCAAGAGAGACCTGTTTAGGAGCAGATGGTGGGGGTTAAGAGCCTTGCTCAGGGGCCCAGAGTGGGGTGAATGAGGGTGGAGGCAGGTGTGGGCGTTCCACCTTTTCCACCCGCATTTTGATGTTGACGGTACCGGGAGTTGAACCTGCGACTTTCCGTTATGAATATGAATCTAGGAGGGAAGAGGACAAGTTTCAGTGAGCTGAGTAGTGACTGTGCTGTTCTTAGATTGAATGTCAACCATAACGAAAATAAACAAGCTAAAACAAAGTAGGCCTGCATCACAAGTGGGGCTTTACAGACTACTCGAGTAATCGACACATCGATTCCTAGGACATCTATCGAGTTTTTAAATTTCACGTTGAGTATTTGTAGTGACGTCATTACGTTGCTGTTATGTCATTGCGTCACGTGATCCGCACCGAGCATGGGCTACAAAATGTATTCCTCCAAGCAGACGGATGGCACAAAGCAGGCCCAGTCTTGGCAAACACGTAGAAATGCATCAATAGTCTGGAAATATTTCACTAAAGATGAATCTTCCGGTTCAACCACCGTAAGGAAACAGAAAATGAGTCAACTTCCTGACTGTTTGGAGCTTGTTGTGAACCGGTGTTACACTATATTCTGTGACCACCGTATATTGTGACCATAGGGGGCAGTGTTGCATGCACTGTTGCAGGTCACAGAATATGGTGTAACACCGGGTCCAATCTACCAAACCAGAACCAGCTTCCTCTGACCTTGTTTCACAAACAAAAAGCAAAAAATATTAATCTCTAAACCTATTAAAAACCTATAAACATATTAATCTCTAAAACTAAACCTAATGTGCAACACTGCAGGCGGTGGTGCGGGGTGGTCAACCGCCCCACTGTTTTTAGTTTAGTTTTTTACGTGCCGCACGTTGCTTTCACTTTTGCAGCTTAATAATAGTAACTAATAGTTTTGGTTTTCCTGTGACTTATTTGCAGTATGATAAATGGTAGGAGCATAATATATGCTCCCAATGTTTTGTTGGTCTTTTTTTGTAAATAATGACTTATTTTGCGGTTTTATTTGTTTATTTATTTTTGCATCTTGAGATCCTACGACGTCATCAACTACTCGAGTTCTACTCGAGTTTTATTATGTTAATGTCGAGTTTAAAAATTATGTAGTCGTTCAACCCCTAATCACAAGGTTATTTCCTAACTCCCATACTACAGTAGTTTTCAGATAGCCTTTATATGACAACAGGATAATCAAACTGTGGAGTGGCACCTCAAGATTACTAGTGGCCCCATCTGGCTATCCCTTTAGGCACATGCACAATGCTAAAGTATTACTCATTATAACCTTGTCTTCTATCGTCATCAAGTATCAACTTGCTCAGCAAAACACGTACCTTGACCTTTGAGAGACTTTCACTCTTCAGACATGTGGATCTTCTGTTTTCCTGTTTTTCCTGTGCTCACTGAGTCGACGACTCCAAAGATTCAGAGATAACATTTAGTCTGTTCACAGTCTGTGAGCATTTTTTAAAACTTTAACCTAACTGAAGGGCACTTTGGGTTGACTCTCCTTTTCTTTCTAAAGTTTCTTTGTTTTTTTTAGAGTTTGCAATTATACACTCCTCTGTATACAGTAGTCCCTCGCTACTTCATGGTTCGTTTATCGCTCTATCTCAGTTTTTCAAAATAAGATTGGACATGACGCACAATTGGCTGATTGATGGATGAGCCGCACGATCGGCATGGAATTTTTATTTAAAATAAATTATTTAAAATTATTTAGCACCTGCTGCACCTGTGTGCAGCCCACACCGCAGGATAAGCTTCGTGCTGCAGCTGATCAGCTGAAGTGGAGAAGTGGGCGTGGCCAAGAGCGCTTGCAGGTGGCAAAGAACAGAGGAGGCAAAGAGCTAAAATCATGACATTCTGTGCTGTTTGAGAGCATTTAGAGTTTAGAAAAAATGTTTAGAATATTGCAAGAGTGTAGGAAGGGTTTAAAATGCCTATATATATTTATATAATAAAAGTAAACTACTTACTACTTGTACTACTATTCCTACTTGGCGGTTTTCCACTTATCGCGGGTCTTCAGGGTACGGATCCCCACGATAAACGAGAGACTACTGTATTTTACTCTGTTTTGTTTTGTAGAAATCAAACACTTCTACTGTGAGTAACAGCAAGGTTTATTTGTGGGTGTCACTAGTATTTAGAAAGTCTAAATTGAACAAATGCTTTTATCATTTAATCTGCATGCAAATTTACAAACCGGATTCCAAAAAAGTTGGGACACTAAACAAATTGTGAATAAAAACTGAATGCAATGATGTGGAGATGGCAAATGTCAATATTTTATTCGTAATATAACATAGATGACAGATCAAAAGTTTAATCTGAGTAAATGTAACATTTTAAAGGAAAAATATGTTGATTCAAAATTTCACAGTGTCAACAAATCCCAAAAAAGTTGGGACAAGTAGCAATGAGTGGCTGGAAAAAGGAAATTGAGCATATAACAAACAGCTGGAAGACCAGTTAACACTAATTAGGTCAATTGACAACATGATTGGGTATAAAAAGAGCTTCTCAGAGTGTCAGTGTCTCTCAGAAGCCAAGATGGTAAGAGGATCACCAATTCCACCATTGTTGCACAGAAAGATAGTGCAACAATACCAGAATGGTGTTACCCAGCGTAAAATAGCAAAGACTTTTAAGTTATCATTATCAACCGTGCACAACATCATCAAAAGATTCAGAGAATCTGGAACAATCGCTGTGCGTAAGGGTCAAGGCCGTAAAACTCTACTGGATGCTCGTGAGCTCCGGGCCCGTAAACATCACTGCACCTCAAACAGGAATGCCACAGTCAAGGAAATAACAGAATGGGCTCAGGAATACTTCCAGAAAGCATTGTCAGTGAACGCAATCCACCGTGCCATCCGCCGTTGCCAGCTGAAACTCTACAGTGCAAAGAGGAAGCCATTTCTAAGCAAGCTCCACAAGCTCAGACGTTTGCACTGGGCCAGGGGTCATTTAAAATGGAGTATGGCAAAATGGAAGACCGTTCTGTGGTCAGATGAGTCACGATTTGAAGTTCTTTATGGAACACTGGGACGCCATGTCATACGGACCAGAGAGGACAAGGATAGCCCAAGTTGTTATCAACGCTCCGTTCAGAAGCCTGCATCACTGATGGTATGGGGTTGCATGAGTGCTTGTGGCATGGGCAGCTTGCATGTCTGGAAAGGCACCATTAATGCAGAGAACTATGTTCAGGTTCTAGAACAACATATGCTCCCATCTAGACGTCATCTCTTTCAGGGAAGACCCTGCATTTTTCAATACGATAATGCCAGACCACATTCTGCAGCAATCACAACATCATGGCTACGTAGAAGAAGGATCCGGGTACTGAAATGGCCAGCCTGCAGTCCAGATCTTTCACCTATAGAGAACATTTGGCGCATCATAAAGAGGAAGGTGCGACAAAGAAGGCCCAAGACGATGGAACAGTTAGAGGCCTGTATTAGACATGAATGGGAGAGCATTCCTATTTCTAAACTTGAGAAACTGGTCTCCTCTGTCCCCAGACGTCTGTTGAGTGTTGTAAGAAGAAGGGGGGATGCCACACAGTGGTAAAAATGGACTTGTCCCAACTTTTTTGGGATTTGTTGACGCCATGAAATTTGGAAACAACAGATTTTTCCCTTAAAATGATACTTTCTCTCAGTTTAAACTATTGATCTGTGATTTGTGTTCTATTCTGAATAAAATATTAGATGTTGGCACCTCCACATCATTGCATTCAGTTTTTATTCACAATTTGTTTAGTGTCCCAACTTTTTTGGAATCCGGTTTGTACATCAAATTACCACTTACATTTATTAATGTCATTAGATGGTGATGTACCTGTTTTATTCCTTGCTGGTGGTTCAGCTTGAACTCTTGATTTGGTTTCTGTGAATGATGGCCGCTGTCATTGCCTGTTGTGTCCGATTTTCTTGGGATTATGGTGAACAACGAACAGCAATGAACACTTCTGGATCTTTTGTCCTAACGATACCCTCACAAGAAGTCAGAGAAGTGACTCTTAATCACAACTCCTGGCGTTATAGAACACCTTTTGAAGACACTGTGTATAAAAATGTATTCAGTCTGTCCGTGCACATCACGCACCTGACTGTACATCCTCACATCACACATGGGTGCACAGAAACAACAAACAGAACTGCCTCGCCTCCCCACCCCTCCAGTGCCCAGCCCCACTTGGCCCAGTGCTGTTTATGGGCAGGGAGTGGTTGGTGAGAGCCTAGAGTCAGCAGAACTGCCCTGATCGATGACAGCATTTGCTGTTCCTTTCCAGTAAGAGCTTTAAACCTGCGACGAAGCGAGTCCTTTGGCCACAAAGAAGCGAGAGCTTCTTATATGTGCGTGTCTGCTGCCTCTGAGGAAGCTCAGTTTTATTTTATTTTATTTTATTGTCATGGTGACAAAGCCAACCAGGACAGAGGTGTATAGATGATCATCAAGGCAGTGACGTCAGCAGAGCAAAACAAGCTTACGCAAGCTCGCTGCTCTGATTATGTGTCGTTTTCTATACATTTACTATTTCAGTGTTTTAATGTAGAGGTCTAAAGGTACTAGCTGACTAATTCTTAGGTGTATATTTACAAATGGTGGTGCCTAAAAGAGCATATACTCTTCTTAAACTGCCTTTTTTCACATGGAATCCAGTATTTGTAGGGCAATCTGATGCAACATTGCTTCGTGACTCAGAGCTGGGCTTCCTTCCTTTAAAATAAAACAATACGATCATTTTTCAAACATGTACTAAATATGTAATTTAAATGTAAAAATACAATATATCTGATTGTCCTAATATCTCCTTTTGTCTCTTGTCTCCACAGACTTTTATAGTCCTAAACAAGGGGAAAACACTCTTCCGCTTCAGTGCCACACCTTCCTTGTACATCATAAGCCCTTTTAATCCATTTAGGCGGATAGCTATAAAGATTTTGATACACTCATATCCTTTCAAGTTATTTACACTGAGCAAAAATGAATGCAGAGGATAACATTTAACAAAACATGAAACTTGCAGCAGTTTTCAGGGAAGATGATGAATACAGTGCTTCTTAGGAATTACTTTGTGATTTATTTTTTTTTTTTTCAAATTTAATGGTGCAATTAATAAAGAGTTACTTAAGAAATAAGTCAGAAGCAAATCACCAATTATTTGATGCTTCTTGAAGTTAAAAGTAATTGATCAAATATTTATAAACTGATCATTCTGATCACTTTATTCATGCAAAGCTTCTGCTTAACTCTGATCTGACCCAGGAGCCATGTTCAATTTGAAACACTGATAATATTTTTATTATTATTACTATTATTTGTTTCATTTTGACCTATTTTATTTTTAATTCATGATTATATTGCTCACAAGCAGTTAATTCCTCTGTTGATTTTTCCAAGCGTGACAGGTTTGTAACATCTTGTTTTTCTGTTTATAACTTATTATCTTTGCATTCTGCCAAACTCCTTAAGCATTTCTTTGGAGTTAAACTGTAGTTTAAGTTCCCTTAACTTCTCTTCTCACGTTATTCAGCATGATCATCATGTGCACCATTTTGACCAACTGTATATTCATGACATTCAGCGACCCGCCGGAGTGGTCCAAACAAGTAGAGTAAGTATGGATCTCAGAGGTCATGTCTTCGTTTGGGTCCTGCTCTTGCACTTTACTCTTTCCTTTCCTCTTTTCTTCTAAGGTATACCTTCACAGGTATCTATACATTTGAGTCGCTCACAAAAATTGTTGCCCGAGGATTTGCTATCGATAACTTCACCTTTCTCAGAGACCCGTGGAACTGGCTGGACTTCATGGTCATTTCAATGGCGTAAGTGCTTAAAAATGTTATTATTCTGCAAGGACTTAGCAACTATTTTCCCTGCATAAAGTAACTAATTAAATACAAAAAAGAAAGCACTACAGCGGAAACATAATTAATTATTAGCTGTGTCAGCATTTCAATGTTTATGATACACCTCAACTACAGAAAAGCTGCATTTCCATCAAAACTGGCAATAAAATATTAAAGTCTGGAAATAAGTGCTAGTTTAAAGTTGAACTTTAACAATTACATCTATAAAGACCAAGATCTCATGTCCTCATGTGTTCTGCTCACCTTTGTAGCTTTTGATTCAAATTATGTTGAGTTTTAATACTTTGTCTGCAAATGTCAAATTTATGGGACTTTTACCAAGAAAAATGCCCTCCAGGGACTTTTCCCCCTGCGTCACTGAGTCCCACCATGTTGATTTAAATATGATGTTACGACAACACTTTACAATAAGGTACACACAATTTGCTTAACTACTAGGGAACACCTCAGGAACGAATCAGGAGCTAGTTAACCAGTACTGGGGAACACACAGCCAAGCCTTATTAGGGGACTACCGTATGTTTCGAACTATAAGGCGCACTTAAAATCTTTTAATTTTCTCAAAAATCGACAGTGAGCCTTATGTATTAATTCTGGTTGTGCTTACTGACCTCGAACTGATTTTATGTGGTTATTGTGAATGAGTTGAATAAAGTTAGACTTATCTGACTGTTTTGTTTTGCTTAATGCACCTTATAGTCCGGTGCGCCTTATAGTCTGAAAAATACGGTACTGGTTTGTTACCTTGTAAATAAAGAGGAACTAATCATGAGCTAATGGGTCGTTAACCAATAGATTTACAAAAGAGATAATCCAATAAAACCAGTAATCGCTAGGAAACAGGTTTTTGACAATTATGAGCTGTGACATCACTAGTGCAGGGTTTATTCACAACCCACATGGAGAATTTCTCCTCTGTTTCTGCAGTAACAAACCAGTAGTCCCCTAATAAGGCTTGGCTGTGTGCTCCACAGTAAGTACTGGTTAACTACTCATTAGCTCCTGATTAGTTCCTCTTTGGTTTCCTTAGTAACTACCCATTAGTTCTTGATTAGTTCTTCATTTGCAAAGTAACTAACCAGTAGTCCCCTAATAAGGCTTGGCTGTGTGTTCCACAGTAAGTACTGGTTAACTACTCATTAGCTCCTGATTAGTTCCTCTTTGGTTTCCTTAGTAACTACCCATTAGTTCTTGATTAGTTCTTCATTTGCAAAGTAACTAACCAGTAGTCCCCTAATAAAGCTTGGCTGTGTGTTCCACAGTAAGTACTGGTTAACTACTCATTAGCTCCTGATTCGTTCCTGAGGCGTTCCCTAGTAGTTAAGCAAATTTTGTGTACCTTATTGTAAAGTGTTGCCGCATGATGTAACAAAGTTCTGTGTTCGTCCTGAGATCAGGACGACTCCTGAGTAACTGTATCTGATCCACCTTGCAGGTATATAACAGAGTTTGTAAACCTAGGCAATGTGTCAGCTCTGCGTACGTTCAGGGTTCTGAGGGCTTTGAAAACTATTTCAGTTATCCCAGGTAAGACAGGTGTTTGTGCAGCCGGGGGGCAGCCAATCCAAAGGGTGGGGGTTGATGTTAGCTGTGGTTGTGTTTCAGTCCCTCTCCTCTTCCTCCTTCCTCCTCTTCCTCACCAGTCGGACAGCTGTTCTCTCTCCCACAGTGGTGTCCCCTCCTGGTCTTCGATGGTGCTGGTGTCGTGCTGTTGCACAAACATACGTGCGTGTGTGTGTTGTTACCGTGTGTTTTGCGTATCATGGGGCTCTGTTCTGTGTTTCATCCTACCTTGTTACAGATATATAACAGAGTTTGTGGACCTTGGGAATGTCTCGGCGCTGAGAACGTTCAGGGTTCTCCGAGCTTTGAAAACTATTTCTGTCATTCCAGGTGAGACTCCCATTTAAACACTAAGGCTGAGCTCAAAATAGTCTTTGTTTTAAACTATATTTTTTTACTTTATTTCTTTGGAAATAGTCGTTTTTCCCCAAATTTAGTTTGCTATATTTTGTTTAGGGTAATTAAAAGTGGTACAAACAGATTTTGTTAGGCTTAGCAGTCTGCTGGCAGTGTTTTAGCTCGCATGAATCTTAAATACAACAGCTGCTGAAAAGGTTTTTTCTTTATCTCAATGAAGTAGAAGTTAATGGGATATTGTGACGACAATGAAAATAATAGTTTTTAGGATGTCAGTGGGTTTTAAAATCAAAGCACAGTTTTCCTAACATCTTTGCATGGCAGGTTTACGTCCACACTTTAGTCCAAAGTCCAGTGACTTTACCTTGTTTTAAGTAACGTTTATTAGACTGCCAAGCCTAATCTGACAATACATTTATGCTGCATGAAGCGATGCTGTCAAAGTTTGGCTTTAAGATGCTTTTTATTTTTACTTTTCTTTTTTAAACAAAAAAATACAAGCTATGTAGGCTCTACTTATTTATTTTCTATCTTATGACTAATAGTTAAACAAAATATTAAACCAGTGGGCCACAGTAACTATATTTATTTCAGATATTTATATTCCCACTGGGGCAAATTTCACTACGTTCGAACACGGTGCACAGGTATTCTTTATCGATTCGTGCCAATGTTAATCATTGTGCTACATTCAGTAGAAACACACACACACATCCTGCCAGCGCTCACCTGACGATGCAGCACTCCGTGTGTTTTCACTGAACGTTCAGAGACGCCGCCGTCCAACAGGATGTTGTCACCTGTTTCATTAAACTGAGCAAACACTATTATCATTATTACATGTGTAATTAAACAAAGTTTCCATTAGAAGGACTCTGCTCTATGACAGGGCTGTTTTTCTTTCCTTTTTAAATTTAATTTAATTTTTTTAAACTTTTTTCAGTCTTTGCTTTGCAAACTTTGCACTGATTTGACATTACTTAGGATTAAGAATTTAAAAAAAAATCTGGTTAAGATTAGAAAAAAGTTGTTATAGGAGAAAATACTTTTGTTTTTTTAAATCTCCTGACAACATGATAGAGACGCTCTGATGACACAACAGGAGTGTTAAAGCTTGTCCACTGATAACACTGTTAAAATGCTCCCATGAGAATAAAATTATCTTCACTAGTTGTTAAAACTGTTGCTTTGTTTCATCACATGCACACAGCATTATGTGTTTAATATATAATACACACCTGCAACACCTTTAATACACCTGTAAAAAATAGGAACAATTGCTTGGCTTTTACATTATTAATTCAAGCATTTTCATCATATCATTTTACACAGGTGATGCTGAATTAGTCATTTCTTTCAGCCTTGGCGTTTAAATGATCTGCAAGGCACCTCTCATGGACCAAACTCCCCCCTTCAGGCCCCAACTCCTCCTCGCATGATCTCTTCTTTATTTCCTGCACGGTTTGCTTTTTGTGGCGCTGCTGTGTTTGTCTTTTATTATCTGAAGTTAGTTGGGGATGTTTCCATAAAAATGCTTCCTGTCCAGATCAATCTTAACTTCAGCTGGAGAGGAGACTGTTGACCCTCAGAAAAAAAAAAAAAGTCATTTTATTTATTCACATCTGTTTATGTACATTTTGTCAAACAAAAAACGAACAATGAAATGTGATTATTTTTCTCCTGATGGAAATGTCCCACACAGCTTCAGTACTTGTGATGGTGTTCTTCAAAAACACCAAACTTAATATCTGTCTCACTTTAAATGATCTTTTTGCTTCTAAACCACTAACATTTTAGATATTTTATGACAAATTGACATGGTTTTAAAATCCATATAACCATGTTCTGTTATATTGGGGTGTTCCGGCTTCACAGAACTCAGAAACAATAGATTAAAAACGATCAGTAAAAAAAATTTAGAAACAAACTTTGATATCTTCAGTGTTTAGCAGACTACACAATGATGACGTCACTGAGTCCATAAGTTTGGCTATGACCCACAGACTGTAAACACATTGTAATAGTAAACCATAAAGTTACGCAATACTCGGGCTAATTTCCTTTGGGTTCTGCCACTATTCATCAGCTCAGGTATGGTCAACACCAGAAAGTTAAAAACTGGTGAAAATTGGTCCAATTTATCACCCAACAGATCAATCGTTTTACCTCATGTTTTCATAAATGACAGCATTTTGCCAAAAAAAACATGAGAAAAATTCATAATTAATGCTGTTTTTCCCCCTGAAATGCTGAGGTAATTTGGAACATTATGCTTGTGGGCCATGCAGAAAATGGACTGCATGTAAATGATCTTTGGGCAACGGATCTTTAAACTTCAAAACTGGTGTTTAAAGACAACATATAAAGACCAAACTTGTTGCTTCCCTGATAGGGATTTAAATGAAAGGATCTGTTTAATATATTGGACTTACAGATACAGATTTCGCTCCTAAAGTACCGTATTTTTCAGACTATAAGGCACACCGGACTATAAGGTGCAATATCAATGAACGGGTCTGTTTTCATACACAACGGATTATAAGACGCATTAAGCGAAACAAAACAGTCAAATAAGTCGAACTTTATTCAACTCATTCACAATAACTCTCAACATTGTTCAGCTGCACCACATAAAATCAGTTCGAGGTCAGTAAGCACAACCAGAATTAATACATAAGGCAAACTGGATATGGCTCACCGTCGATTTTTGAGAAAATTTAAGGATTTTAAGTGCACCTTATAGTCCGAAAAATATGGTAACACTTGGAGGTATTTTCTTACTTAACAAATATTGACAGGAGAACTGGCCGGTGATACTACTGCAGAAGACTCAGAATAAGTTGTTTAACTTCAAATTTAAAACTTTTGGAGTTTATACAGTATTTTTCATGGAGAACAACATATTAGCCAAAAAAAAAAAAATTAACACACACACACACACACACAAAAATAGTAAAAAAAAAAAAAAAAAAAAAAAAACCCACAAGAAATAGTTGTTTCAAAAGTACTTTTAATTTTGTTGAGGTCATTTTTAAACAAGTCAGCTGCTCAAAACTTTCAAATGATCAAGTATCATAATAGTTTTTTCAAAGCTTGAACTAAATATTTGTATGAGATCAGCAGCGACAGCCAGTGTTTACACAAACAATAATTAATTTCTTAATAAATTAACCGTGTCTGCAAGTTAAATGCAAAAATTAAGCTTGTCTGATCAAATATATAACGTTTCATCACATAAATTGAGTCAGCTCTGAGTTTCTGAACCAGTCGAGACATTTTATTCGTGTATCTCACGTTCTCCATTTGTGTGTCTGTGAACTTGTACGATGACGTGCATGTGAGCGTGCCTGTTTCCATGCTTGTGCACTTGTGCACTTTTGTATGTGTGTGCCTGTGTGTGATTTGTGTATGAACAGGCCTAAAGACCATCGTGGGTGCCCTGATCCAGTCTGTGAAGAAGCTGTCGGATGTGATGATCCTGACCGTCTTCTGCCTCAGCGTCTTCGCTCTGATCGGTCTGCAGCTCTTCATGGGGAACCTCCGGAACAAGTGCGTCATCTGGCCGATCAACATGACCGAACAGTACCTGGAAAACGGAAGCAGAGGGTTTGACTGGAGCAAATACATCATGAATAACTGTGAGTGAAACCTGTGGCGCTCGAACAACTTGCTGCAATTAATTAAACGTGTTATTTCAGGTAATAGGATGTGGTAAAGAAAGTGATTGTCTCGTTTTAACTTTTTGTTCCAGCTAATTTCTACTTCCTCCCTAATGCGATGGATGCGCTACTGTGTGGAAATAGTTCTGACTCAGGGTGAGTATCTGAATAAATTCATTTTCAGAATCTGTCTGCTGGCCTCTTTAGATAGAGAACTTTGCTAATTGGCTTTTATGTATGTGAATGTTCCTGTAAAGTGCCCCGAGACAACTTTGCTGTGATTTGGCGCTATATAAATTAACTGAATTGAATTGAATCAGAATCAGAATAAGCTTTATTATCATTGTACCGGTATACAGTGAGATTATGTTCGTACAGTCGTCCGAAATATGGGCGGAGTGCACGTTGCTGCTGCTATAAGCGCAGCAGGATGTGTCTTTTAAATCTCTGTCTTTGAGGTGTGCAGCTGGATCACAGTCAACGTCCAGGATCTTTTTGTATAGCTTCATTGCTTAAAGATCCCTCCAAACCTCGCTCGTGGATTTTCTTTTGGATGCTTCTTTAGGCACTGAGCTGCAGTCCATTAGCTACATCAGCTTTATCCTGCTGGAAGCTACAAGACGCTGAAACCTTCTGAAAGACAAAGACGTCAAACACTCATGTTTATGAACTGTGGCACTACATAAACACTAAAATGCACAGAGAACATGAAGAAATGGCTAAAACCAAAGAGGGGAAAATGCTTCGTTTGGGAGCTTATCCTCTCTAATGTAAAATTCACTCATCAAAAGTTTTCCATTTTCTAACATGGCTCTTCAGTCTAATGATAGTTTTAAAATATGTACTTCAGTAATAATCTGTTTCCATTGGTGCCTAATTAGAACAGATGCACAGACAGGGATGCACAGGTTTATGTGTTGTAAAATACAGTTAACATCCAAAAATAGCATAAAGAATAATTTATAATGACCGTGCTTCTGGAGCAAAGTATTTTTAATGGGCATTCAATACAATTTCATAAGCCATGAGTAGATTACAGTTTTGATTTTGTATTTATGAAGGTAAATACATTTTTGCTCTCCACATGACTGTTTACATTTATGCAGCCCAAACACTTTCCACAATGTTGGATCAAAGCATAATGATTTTGTATATTAAAATATTTCATATTTGATATCCCCCTTGCACATCCTACAAAAACCTAATCAGTAGTATCAACCAATGAACTGATTAATGTGAAAACCCAAGAATGATTGAATGAACTTAAACAAAAGTCAAAACAGGCAGATTGTAACAAAAACCAGGGCTTGAACAAGAACAATCATCTGACACAAGACTGGAGACAATGAGAACAATTTATACAGCGAGCATCGATTAGTGACTGGGAACAGGTGGGAGGATAGCTGATAAACAGGTGTACTGAGTTGCTGATTAGGAAAGCTGAACATACAAACAAATAAGTGTTATGCTAAACAGGTACTAAACACTGGGTTACTAATATAAACCATGGCAGAAATAAATGATGCAGAAACATCTTGATAAAAATATGGAAATACAAGGAACTAAAAGAACAACTTAAAAGAATATCAAACTATCAAGCTCAAAATGTGACCCATTTTTATTTAGTTATGTGTTATTCAATAAATTTATTCTCAAAACTTTATACGAATCATAGATACACACATTCATACCATCATGACGTAAACTCAAGTCCTGAAATACAAATTTCACTCAAATGAAATCAGTCTTCTGCTTTGAAATTTTTACAATAAACACCTTTATAAAACAGCATTTTTGTCATTATCAATATTACGTTTCTGTTTTATCTTAGCCTAAAACGTCAGTATACATTTTATTGTTTCCATTTTTGGTCAGGACACTCGTGTAAATGAGAAGTTTGATCTCAATGAGTTTCTCCTGGTATAATAAAGAAAATAATAATTCAGCAGTGCATTAAATCACGTCTGAGTTGTCGCTAAAAACACACATTTTGTCAGTTTTATTCAAACTGTCTGCATGTTGGTGTACGTTTCTTTCAGACGATGTCCAGAAGGTTTTATGTGCATGAAAGCTGGAAGAAACCCAAACTATGGTTACACCAGCTTTGACAGCTTTGGATGGGCTTTCCTGACGCTCTTCCGTCTCATGACTCAAGACTTCTGGGAAAATCTCTACATGCTGGTAAAAAAATGTTTTCTTTATGGACTTCTTTCTATTTACTCCATTATAAAACAAATGTCTTTACACACTCTTATCCATCCATCCATCCATCCATCCATCCATCCATCCATCCATCCATCCATCCATCCATCCATCCATCCATCCAT